GGGGGTCTTGGAACTGGCTAGACCATTCCTGAGAGCCTGGAAAGGGGGAGCCAGCACCTTGACCCACATTACTGCTGCTTTGTCCAAGGGATCCTGGGCTACCTCTAGTTCTCAGCCCTTGTTTGAGAACAGGATGACTCACAGCAAAGCCTGGAGTAGGGTCTTAGTCCCAGCCTTCTTGCTAAGCCCCTACATGACCTTGGACCAGGCATCTTCCCTCTCCAGGCCTCATTCTTCTGTAAAATGATGTACCCATTTGAGCACCTTCTATGTATTCTATACCATGTCTAATGTTATTCATTGCTAAGTCCTCCTCATGGCCCTGCAAAGGTCTATCACTCCCCTTTCAAAGGCAGGAAATGAGGCTCAGAGAAGTTCAGTGGTCTTAAGTGGGAAGGCAGAAGCTGAACCGAGTAGGTCTGTGGGCTCCTAAGTGAACCTCTCTTTCAACATCACTGTCCCTTTCAGTCCCCTCTCCCTCCCTGGCCCTCCCAATGGTGTAGTTCCCCCAGGGCAGACACATCCCCCAAGGCCTTCTCAGGCCTGGCTCCCTCCTATCATACCCTGTACCTGCGGATCTCAGGGGCCAGCTGCTCCATGTCTTGGTGGAAGATGTAGGGAGGGTTGCTGACGACCAGGTCCATGGGGCCCCAGGGCAGGAGGTGTGACCAGCTCCCCTCTATGGTCAAAGGGAACACACAGCAGAGACTAGGTGGCAGCTCTACCTGCCACCATGTCCCTTGGGTAGTCTCCCTCCCCAAGCCACACCATGGGCCTATCTCTGGATCTGATAACCCAGACCTGCAAATTAGTGCCCAGGGTCCCCGGCCAGCAGCCTGGCCAGGAGCATGTATACTCTGAGATGGCAACTTTTCACATGGAATATCCTTGCCCTCTCTCCCTCCTCTCAAATCTCAGCTCAAGTGCCACCTTTAGGAAGACCTCTCTGACTGCTTGGTCAATGCAAGAGCCTCTGTTCTCTGTAACCCTACTGGCCCTGCCATATGCTGCCCCATAGCCAACATGGACTCGGTGTGTGGAGGGCATGCCTGGCTTTAGTCAGTCAATTCCTGGCAACTCTGCTTGTCCATTCCATCCAGGTGCCAGGTGCCACACCAGGTGTATCACACTCTATGGAGGGTGTATATGAGGCTCAAAGATCTTGTGGATATTTAATGAAGCCAGAACTGCAGCCAGAACCCAAGAACACTCTGCAAAGGTGTGGCTGAGCTGTGCTGTGCCTGGGCCAGGCAGGAGCAGCATGGGTAGGCACTAAAGTATTAAAGTATTCTGGTCCTAAAGCTTTTCTCCTGAGCTTCTGCTCATCTCTTGACAACAAGCAAGCAAGCCCTAGTTAATCTCACTAGTTACAGGGGTTCAGAAAATAACAAAGACCCTGTGGCTGGTCCCTGCATGGGTCAAATCAGCCCAGGAGGCAGCAGGGACTTGCAGGATTGGTCTAAGAGTGTGTGTGTGTGTGTGTGTGTGTGTGTGTGTGTGTGTGTGTGTGTGTGTGTGTGTGTGTGTGTGTTGGGGAAGCCCTCCATCCATCTCTCCACCAGTCAGCACCTGTGCTGAGGATCCCCACCCCAAGGAAGATGGGTAGGGAAGATACCTAAAGTCACATCCAGGGGAACGATCTGAATTCTGTCCAGCAACTGAAGCCTGAAGAGATGGGAAGTGAGGGTGAGCACAGGGGAAGCTCCTGCTTGTGGCTACCAGGACTATGAGAATAAACTCTTCTTGGACTGGCAGTTATCTGGTGCCCACTGTCCTTCATAACCCTGTGGGACCCATGCCAGGCAACCCACCCCCCCGACCTCCCCTTTCTTAGGAGTAGAAAACAGACATCAGTGAGTTTAATACCTGAATAGGGATTGAGACCAGGTCCCAAAGTCAGACTTCCCCAACCCTGACCTTCTGTCTCCCCAGCCCGCCTACCTCTGAGCATTCTCCTGGGTCAGGCAGATGGCAGCTTCTCCTTTATCCACAGCAATGACTCGACTCTGCCCCAAGAATAAATGATGGGTATGTAGGGGGCAGGGTGCCTGGAGAGGCCAGGGCTGGGGACCAGAGCTCTCCTCCAACCCCTACCAGAGAGGAGGGAAATACCCAACAGCCATTCCCCTCTCTGTAGCCAGGGTCTGGCCAGAGAAAAGGGGAAAAGAGTTAGAGGCTATGACCATGATAGGCTGAGGGCAGCCCTGTCTTCCCATATCTGGCCACCTCCTCTCAAGTGCTTCTAGCAGAAACGGGTGGGGAAAGGATCTGTGGGACAGTGAGTGGTAATCCCAGTCTACTCAGGGTGGGGCACAGGGACGCAGAGGGGGCTCACCTGGGGAAGCTGACTCAGCAGGCTGAGGGAGATGGCTCCCGATCCGCAGCCCACTTCCAAGATGAGGGGGCCACCTTGGGCTCCCATTGGACAGGAACTCTGGGTCACTTCTTTCAGCACCCATTCAACCAGCTCCTGTGAGGCAAAGGGGTCTGGATCAGGGTTAGTGACAACCCTGCCCTCCAGGGGGTACTGGCACAGAGGCCCAAGCATGGTTACAGGGGTCAATGTAGGGGGGTGTCTAAAGCTAGACTGAACTTTATGTCAGGCCATGGGCAGGTCACTCTGCCTCTCTAGGCCTCAGATTCCCCACCTGTGAAACTGAGTGGATGATAACCCACCTCATCAGGATGCTGGGGACATTAAACAGAAACACATTCGTGAGACATGGGTCCCATTCCTGGTACATGGTAAGTGTTCAATAAACCTCAGCTAGGCCTTTTATAGACAGCCTCTGTTTTGTGCACATGGCAATGCTAGAACCATGCCTGATGTTCCTCGACCACTTCCTCTTTGACTGGCCCTGATTCCAGAACTTTCCCTCCATTAATCTGTTGGATCCTCACAAATGGTCCATGAGGAAGCTAAGGCCCAGGGGTCAAGGCCCCTCCTGGAGCCTGGTTCACAGCTCATGATGGCCAATTATCAGGGGCCAGGGTGGCCCCAGCTTCTTCATAGAGCTGAACTTAGAAGGCCCCCAGGGGGGGACAGGGAATTGCCTCCATGGAGGTGGGGCATAGTAGGGAGAACACAGTCCCACCTAAGCCCCATATCCGAAGAGGGCTGTGGCATGCATACACAAGGCATGGGAATAAGTGGGCATAGTGTGGTGGGAGGTGCCTGATTGCACCTGCCTTGGGGGCCTGGGGACACTTATAGACACTGTCACTTTGGAAACAACAGGCTTTCAAGTCTTGTCCACCCATCTGCTACCTGCAGGGACTGTGCAGGAAACAAATACAGGGTGGAGGTGAGAGTGGAGGGCTGCTGCTGCCCAGTAGCCAACTGTTTCTAATGAGCAGTGGAGTGAGGGCCCAAGCAGCCAGGCATGGAACTGGGAAAGGGCAGTGTGCTTCCTTCTCAAAGACAACCCTTAGGAGAATTTCCCTACTTGGGACTCCTGGAATCCTAGGCAGGGCTGGCTCAGGAATGGGCAAAGGGGTCTGCAAGTGGGCGCTCCCTTCATCTATAAACAGGTCCACCTCTCCAGAAAGGCTTCCTCACCCCCACCGCCCCACCAGGCTCTCTCTACCATGGCTCCTCACCATGAGTCTAAAGTCCAGGAGGCAGTTTGCCTTTCCCACCAGACTGAAGGCTCCATGATGGGAAGACCAGGAATCTAACCCATCACAGTGTGTCCCACAGGCAAAGCCTGACCCTCAGAGGGGCCTCCTGGCCACTTTCCAAGTGCTGGGCAAGCTCTCAGTGGTCGTGGGAAGCTACCCTCTAAGTCTCAGACTCCCCTAGGTCCTCCCAAACTCCCAATATCAACAGTCAAGCTCAACAGCTCCAGATCACTCAGACCCATTTGCCATATAAGCTCCTCAGTCCTGAGTCCCAAAAGGCATTTTATCCTTCCAGGCCCCCCAATCCCAGGAGCAAAGCTCACCTGTGCCCAGGGTAGCAAGTTCAAGGCAGGTAGGACTTGGCCTATGGGTTCAACCCTTCCTGTTTCCCTCACTTGCTCCCACTAGTCCTGTACCAGGCACTACTGGAGATTGCAGGGGTGCTTGCAGCAACCTGGGCCCATAGCACTGGGACTACCATAGCGCGAGAAGTCTAGAGCTGTGGTGGGAGATTGCGGGCTCAGCACTGAGGCCACATACTGAGCATCTGCTAGGACAGCTGAGGCTTGTCAGGGGTGTGAACTTCTCTTGGTTTCCTGGCCACAGACAGACCTACTCTGGTTGGAGAATGACCCCTTGGACAGCCACACTGGCCAGCCACCTCACAGAGACACCCCTGACCTCAGAGAGACATACAACATATATGAACGGCCATCCCAGGGAGCGCATGAAGCTGAGTGTCCCCTGGACCCTCTATTACACTCCAGACCACTTGAGGATCAACTTGGCTATGGGACAATTATAGGGGTAGAGACCACCTGCAAGAAGTCCACAAACTTTCCTCCTCACCAAGTGAAGAGCCTCCAGCCTCCATCAGCCTGAAATTGGTGACTCTTTAGAGGAGGCTGAGAGCTGAGCTGGCCTCAGACTCAGGGCACCTCTTCTAGGTGAGTAAGGGAAGAATCCAAAACCATGATGGGGTGGGGATAGAAGGGAATGTGGGGAACAGACAGCTTCCATCAAGAAGTCAGCCCAAGGCCTCAGCAGGACCTGACTGCTGTGAGTACCCTCCATTCGGATGCTCTGAGACAGCAGCCCCATGAAGGTGGCACTGCCTCTTTCAAGCTAATCACAGATAAGGCACTGAGCCTCCCCTACCCCGCAGAGCCTCATCTTGCCCAATTGGATATGAATGGCTCACACTCTCAGCCTTGGGTTTCCCACTGTACACACCGCCAGCCTTGGGACTGAGCCACCTTCCCACCCACAGGGAAAGCCCAACTCATCGAGCCACATGCCACCTACAGCTTCACATTTCTGACTTCTGCCCCCATCATCAGAAACTGTCCTCCAGTGGATAGAAAGATCACAGGCACCATGAACTGTTCCCTGCACCCATTCTCCCTACTCCCTGCCACAGGCCACGTCCTCTCAAGTTCTTGGTAAAGCACCCCCAATGTGGCTTCACATTGGGGCAAACCTGGCAAGTTCTCAGAAATGTCTGCACAGTGAGGTGAGGACCTGACCTCCCAACCACAGCCTCCCCCTCCATTCTCCCCTCCCCCTGCTCCTTGCAACAGAGCTGCTCTCTGGCCCAGACCCACACAGGAATGGGGGGCCCCCATGTGAGCCAGAAGTCCACATTCCACATTCAGAACCCTGGAGCACATGGCTGGTGTCAGATCAGCTCTGAGGGGACTAAAAGGTCATCATGGTAGCTTCCCTCCCATGTCCTGACCCTTGGCAGCCTCAGGAGACAGTAAGTGAGCTCCCAGCCAGAGGTCACATGCTTGGGAAAGACACAGGGTAGCCTCCCAAGAACCTACAGGTGGCAGACCACCACTTCCTGCTCTGGATCTCCACATTCCATCCCAGCTCATCCAATCCCAGATGGGACAGCCCTATGGGAGATGTGGGGCCCTGACCCAGAGTCAGAAAGTCCGAGTGCTGCCCCCACGCTCCTTCCACTGGCAGCCCTGTGACTTTAGGTAGTTCTCAGATTCCCTACTGTCCCTCCCAGTACTGGGCTGTAAAGTGAGGACCTGGCCTCTGAACCACATGATGTGGAAGTGAATGGGGTCAGAAGGTTTCTTGGCCAGGGGAGAGAGTCTAGGAAAATGAGGTGGGACTCTGGGTACCTGTCTGGGCAGGTGAATGAGGTATGATCTTTCCTAGGAATGTTTGTATGCCTGGGTACCTTTTGAGAAACACTCCTTCTCAGAGCCTGGTGCCCTCTAGCTTGCCCATCAGCCCCCACACAGCCCCATCCACCTGCTCTGTTCTCTCTGGCTCCCTATAAGGTCAACGGGAAGCCCAAGAAGGGCTACAGAAAGCATCTCTCCCACAATAAGGGTGCCTTACCAACAGACAGTATCTAGGGCCACCCAATCCCTAGTCCTAGTAATTTGAGGGACACGGGTAATTACCTGACCAGACAGTGGATCTAAGAGAACCAACAAGTCACAGATTCCCTGGCCCAACCCTTTTATCATGTGGGCCCAGAGGGGTCAATGACTTTCCTGAGGTCACATAGCTGTACCAGGCCTCCAGGTGTCCAGCTGGAGCCCTATCCACTCCACCCACGCCTCCTGAGATAGGAGGAAGGCACTTTCCCCCCATGGATTGGATAGGCCATGTCTGGGAGCTAGGACATTGGTCTGGGATGTGAGGACACTCAAGGAGGCCAGAAGGAGACCTCTACACTCTTGGCCCCACCTACCAAGCCTTCCAGGAGACACCAGTATGGAAAAGCAAGGCCTCTGAGGACAATAATCACAGGGTCCCAGCGCCCCCTGGAGGAAATCTGGAGCAAGACAGGTACCCTAAACCCCACCCTCATCCCCATCCTGCCCTGTCCTGGTGCCACACCTACCTCAGTTTCCGGGCGAGGGATGAACACTGGGGGGGCCATCTTCAGACTGAGCCCTTGAAAGTCCCACTCCCCAAGGATGTACTGCACAGGCATCCTACAGAGGAGGCAGCTGGGTGACATCAGTGCTAGAGCCTGGACCAATAGGACCATGACTGATTTGAGAGAACTTGTGGGATACCAAAAGCGTCAGGGTCGTCCTCCTTGCCCCAGGACTCTGAGCCAAGGCCTTCCCTCCCTCCCTTCTCCCTTTCTACTTGCCTGATTCCCCTCTCATCAACCCCTCAGACCAACACCTTCCTAGTCCTTGGATACTTTCCTCCTCCCTGACCACGAACTAGTTGGGCTGGAGGAAATCAGACATCTGTTCCCCACACAGAGCCCTCAGGTCTGGCCCATGGATGCTCACCTTTGCAATCGGCAGCTACTCAGCTTCTGCACATGCTGTAGCTGCCAAGGACTCAGGGGCTGGGTCCGAAGTACTGGTCTCAGGCTCTGAAACTGCCCCACAGAGAATGTGAGTGGCTGCCTCCCCTGATCCAAGGGCCTGACCCAGGTTTAGGTGGACAATGCTTGTGGGCCCAACACTGACCACCTTGGTCATCCCTGGATCCCTACTGCCTGGCACACACTGTAAACGTTAGCTGGGTGAATGAAAAAGTATCCATCTAAGACATGCCTTCAGAAAAACCCCATCACTCTTAGCTTAGCATTCTCAGTGGAGCAGAAAAGCCTGGATGTTCTTCCCTAAGGTTCTCCCTCCCCATATTCTGCCCTCTTAACAACACTGCACTTAACTGTTTTGGCTCCAAGGACATGAGCCACGATGTACTCACTGGATGCCTGGGCCTCAGGGATGCCCCTCTTCTCAAAGACTGCAGTCCAGTGGCTGACCACCTCTGTGGCACTCAACAACCCAGCCAGGGGCAGATAGGGTTGCCATGAGCTGAAGGCCCAGCCCCTGGTGCCTCCCTTCCTTCCCAGGCCAGACAGGAGGGCCCGGAGCATTCGGTCCCCAAGCTCCATGTCTCAGGGAAAGGCTCTCCTGAGTGCTCCCAGGTCCCTAAGTCTTCCAAGTGATGTCAGCTGCTGAAGATGGGTCACTGGCTCCAACCAGGTAGAGACGGTCACAGGCTCTGGCTCCTCAAGGTGGCTCTGATCCAAATGTGACTGCCAACCTGGAAGAGAGAAGAACCAGGAGAGCAGCTTGTGTGAGAGAGTCTTGTGTGACCCACTCTTCCCTGACCTGCTGCCTGAGAGAGGGCATGCTCTTGCTCTGCTACCTCCTTAACTCCATTTTAGACCCTCACCCACTTATTTGATTCTTCTTGTCTTGGCCAATTATGTTTTCATCATGTTTTTAGCTGAAGTGGGCTGAACCCAGAGCTCAGTCCCTGGTGATGGGTCGGGGCTCAGGCTTGAGGGCTGAACAGATCTGTATCATCTAGTGTGTGCAACTTGGGAAAGTCATTATTTCTGAGTTCCAGTGTCCTCCATAAAATGGGGAGAATAGCATCAACTCCACGTGAGCAGTGCAGCAGACAATGAATGTCAAGGGCCTGAGAGTCAGCTCAACACACGGGAGGGACTCAATGTTACATGCTCTTAACTAATATTGCAAGAAGAGAGGAGACTGCCTTTGCTTGGGAGCTTTGCTTTGCTTTTGACATTTTGCACGGACTGATTTGTATGCTAAAATTCTCCCCCTGCCCCGTTTAACCCATAATCCTAAACATCAGCATAAATCCCCAGCCAAAAAGAAATTGACGATTATTTGTTAACTTTATACTTAAGTTATCACAAACAAGATTTAACAGAGGATTTAAAATTAGTGGTCCCCTTTCCCGTCGCACGGACTAAGGTCCAAACTAGCATACTGAGCACCTGCTAAGTGTCACACCTTCAGAGACCAGCTGGGAGGGAAAGCGACTTGCCTAAAATCACCTCGCTAGCACTGTCCCAGGCAGGACACAAACCCACGTCCTCCGGTCTCCAGAGCAGCTCTGTCCACCTGAGCGTTGCCCCAGGAGGAGCCAAGGCCTGAAGTCCGGGACGCAGCTTCCCTCTCAGCTCTGCAAAGCATCGTTAATGACCCAGGCAAGGTCGCCTCTCCCCAAGCCTGTTTCCTCATCTATATAACGCGGAATGGGCGTCTCTAGAGTGCTGCAGTCCAGGGGCACCCGTCCCGGTTCCCATTTCTAGCACATACCGGCCTGAAGAATTACCGCGCCCGCCCGCCCGGATGCAGAAACTGCCGGGGCATGGCCCCCGGATATGCAAGACCCGACGTGAGCACCCTCGGACGCCCTGCTTCCGGTGTCGGTGCTTCTGAGAAAGGACTCGGGCGGACCCAGTTGCCCAGCTCCAGAGTTCCTAGTGCTACTGGGTTCCACCCGGGAAGCCGCTGCGGGCTGTTGAGGAGGCTGTGAAAGCCACGCGGGGTGCGCCGGTAGTCCACCCGCGCCAGGGTGCGTGGATGTGTGGGAGGTTGCGCCCTAGGAGCCAGGTCTCCCCATTCTTCCTGAAGGTCACGGAGGGGACATGGCCCCAGCCCGCGGGGACTACTACGAGCTGGCGTTTGGGTACCCAGCCGCGGTGGTGCGTGGTCAGCCCCAACGGGGCTGTCAGCAGCCAGCCCAGGGTTTGAGAATTGGAGTGCGATGTCTAGGGGCATGGTCTAGCGTAGCCTCTGCACAGGCCTAGCAGCACTTGGATGCATTCCAGTGGTGGGGACGGTAGCAATCTGAGGGCGGGACCCAGTGTTCAAGACCTGGCCGAGAGTGGTCCGAGCCGCGCTGGGGGCCAGGGGTCACTAGACCCCAGGGCCGCTTTTGACCCTCTTGCTCCCAGGTTTTAGGGTTTGGATGCTGGAGACCTGGGTTCGAACTCTGGCTGTTGCCAGCTCACTCTGGGCCTCAGTTGCTCCTTCTATAAAACTCACAGCAGTGTCCCACAAAAGTGTGACCTGTCCCACACAAGTGTGATCTGCTGACACCCTCCTACCACCAGGATCTATTGTTAACTAGATCACTGTTAACTACTATTAAACATGCAGTTTCCTGGGCTCGATCCCAGACCCGTAATCCTCGTAAACTCCCTTGAAAATCCGAAGATTAGAAGGTATCCAAGGGTCCCTCCCCTGAGATGATTGCGCTGTGGATGGAGGCTATTGTGAGGAATATATGTAGGATTGTGTCAGGCTGCCCAATAATAATACCAATCCAATAATAATAATACGATCCTGCTCCCAACTTCTCTGAACTAAGCTACCCCATTTCTAGCCTGGGGTGGGCGTTTACCCAAGAGGCCACTCAGTAGAGCCCATCTGGGCAGGAAGCGAGCCCCAGGGAGGGGAAGCATCTTGCTCTAGGTCACAAAGCCATAGACGGGCGAGCCAGAGTTCAATGGAGGTCCAAGGACTCCCAGTCCAGTGCTCTCCCCGAGCCTTCAGCGTCCGCCTGCGTTTCGGGCGCACGCGTCTATCTCGGCGGAGGTAGAGCTCCGCCCGAGTTCTAGTGCAAGAAGGGCTTAGCCATCCAAGGTCCTCGACTCTACTTCAGCAAAGGCCACGGGGAGCGAGGGGTGATCTGCAAGAACCGACACCCAGTGTCCGGCTCCTGCTGGGGGCGGAGCCAGATCAGAGCGACAGGCAATCGGGCCAGTGCCGGGCAGGCTCTGGGCCTGACAGCCAATCGGGAGCCAAGAGCGCGGAGCGGGCAGAGAGGCGAGGCACTGGAGCATGGGGGACCCTTGGGGCTACTCGCCTCGGCCCCACCCCCGCGGTGGGTCCAGGCCCCGCTGGTCCCGGCCCAAGCCGACTGAGCCGGCACTCACGGCTGCCGGCGGTGCGCTGTAGCTGGCCCCGCCCCGGCTCGGAGTGCACTGGGAGGGCGAACCTGGGGTCGGACCCGCAGTCCCCGGCCCTGGCCTCCTGCCGATCGCCATCACCCCTAGCCTCTCCGGCTGAGCTCGGCGTCCCAGAGAGGATTAAGTAAGTGCTGAGGTCGCAGCTTCTGTGCAAGAATGGAGGAATCACAGAGTCGCAGAGCGGGGATGGGGATTGGAGCAGGGAGGACTGAAGAACCGGGTAGAGAACGGTATGCGGGTTCTCGGAGGTCGCGGTGCCAACCCATTTCACCCGTTTCATTCTCTTGCCCTTTGGACCCTCAGGCAGTCCCAGACAGTGATGGGCAGGACCTTTTCTCTGCTTTGGATCGAGGAATAAACAGAGCCCAGAGCAAGAGTTAAGGGTCTGGCCCAAGGTCATGTCTGGGGTCAGAGGCAAAGCCAAGGAAGAACCTGGGGCTGCTGACGCGTTCAGCCTAGCTGGAGGGAGAGGGCAGAGAGGGATGAGCCCCATATCCCTCTGCCAACCTTACCCCTTCCTAAGGAGCCATCATTAATGTGTACACTCCTCACACACACACCCATGCACCTGCACAGGGAGGCACCCCGCATACACCCATGAGCTAGGACAGGGAGGTATGTGTGCAGCCATGAGCTGTGTATCTCCCCCTTCTCCCTAGACCTGCCCTTAGGCAACTTGAATGGGCCCCCTTCCCACCTTGCCTTACCCTGCGCCCTCTGGCCTGGGAAGACCTAAGCCACACCCTCTTGCCTCATCTCCCACCCTCTCCTCCCAAGGGAGGAGGGAGGGGAGAAGAATCATCTCAGAGTGGGTGCTCCACCCCTGCATATGAAGACACACTCCCTGCTCACCTGGTTTTTCCTTGTCTCCGGCAGCGCCTAGCTCCCCTATGGAGGTCCTGTGACCCTAAGAGCCTGCAGAGAAGTCGTGCCAGAGGACCTGACCTTAGCCTCTCTCCCCTTCCTGCCTTCTGGGCTCTCCACACCTGCCCTGCCCCACTGCAAACACAGCCTGGATCACAAAATTGGCTGGGTCCAGGGGCTTCTTTCCCAAGTGGGCTGCCCAGTGGGGAAGGTCTATACATTGGGTGCTTACTGTGGGCAAGGGTTGCGCTGAGCTAAGTCTTTTCAAGGGACCAGTTCATTCTGCCATTTTAACGAACCTGTGAGGGAGGTGGGGTTTTGTTTTTGTTTTTGTTTTTGTTTTATCTCAGACTCAGGAGAACTGAGACACAGAAGTGGAGTGACATGCCTAAGGTCATCTGACTCTTGGGCAAGTGTTTCCCTCCAGGAAACGAAAAAGCTGCAGTATTTTTTTCTCCAAGCAGGAGGTGAGGGATATGGGGGGCAGGGAGTGAGGAGATGGGAAATGCAGGGAGTAGGGGTGGGAAGGTGGCTATTACACAGGGTAGAGACTTTTCCTTTCAAACCTCCCCGCCACCTTTCACATCTTCCAAGTACGATCACTATGGTTATCATACCCTCAGAGAAGGGGAAGGGCTTCATTTTCACCTTCCTAAATCCACATGGGAACTATACATAAGTAAAGCACATGTCCTGATGTCCCTTGAACTTGCCTTTGCCCTCAAACTTTTATTTCCCCAGTGCCTTCAGAACTTAGGGGTACTTGATGTTACCCCTGAGTCCTGTTCTAAGCCTCATGGTTTTTTATTCTTTCTTTTCCAGCACCCAAGGAGCCAGGGAGCTCCCTTTATCCAAGGAGGTGGCAACCTGCAAGTATAGTGGGGGGCCACAGTCTGGAACACTACTGATGTCAGAATCAAGTTGGCAGGTTGGCTGACCACAGGCAGTCTCTCAGCCAGGGCCCTCTCAGCATCAGCATGAACTCCAGGATCCCATCTGCCAGGGGCTGGTTCAGCAGCCGCCCACCCACCTCTGAGCCTGACCTGGAGCCTGCCACAGATGGGCCAGCTTCCGAGACCACTACCCTCAGCACAGAAGCTACCAGCTTTAATGACACCAGAATCCCTGATGTGGCTGGTGGCACTGCTGGTGTGGGCACAATGCTTCTGTCCTTTGGGATCATCACAGTGATTGGCCTGGCTGTGGCCATGGTAAGAGCTGGCAGGCTGGGGCTGACCCAGATGGCCGTCAGTTGGAGGAGGGTGGTCAGTGTTTAGATTTTAGAGACTCTTAATCAGAAGATAATTGTCTGTTAATGATAGCACGATCTTCCCCTTCTCCAGGTATTTTTCCACTAGGGACCCAGAGACCAGAGAGGCTGCCTCCAACTGGAAGAACCAGAGAAGGTTCTCAGGATACATGGTGTCTTGAGCTGGGCCATGGGGGCCATGTAGGAGTTGGAGAGGGGGTTGTTCCAGGTGGAGGGTCCTGATGGGCAAAAGTTGGGAAGCAGGCAGGGGTTTCTGTGAGCAGCAAGCAGGACAGTGAGGCAAGTATGGGGAGGGGTGCCATAGGAGTAGAGGCCAGAAGGCGATGGGAATAGAACCTGGGCTGCAGAGTAGGGGTGGGATGCTCTGGGCATGGCAGCCTGCTGGCAATGTTCATTCACTTGGCAGTTATTTACTGGGCATCTGCCCTGGACCAAGCCTTCAGGTCCCCAGGGACTAGGGAGACAAGGTCCTGCCCTGTGTTTCTTTGGGAAATAGGAGACAGATAAACCAAGGATGCCAAGGGCAGCCTAGAGGGACTGAGTTGGGGTGCACCTGTGGTCCCCTGGGTGGGCTGACAATGGTGGCATCCTGGCCACTGCCCCTTGCAGACTCTGATGGCTAGCCTTAGGCTCAGGACCAGGTTGCTCTGGCAAATAAGGCTGTGGATGGTCCATCCATGACCTGGCTGGAGCTACTGTTAAACCAAGGTTGCCATATGGGCCCTGTAGGCTTCGGATCACTGCCAGGGAACAACTCCTGGCCAGCAAGCAGGGCCAGGATGCAACACACAGAGTGAGTGGGCTCCCTGGGCAGGAGCAAGGCAGAGCGCCAAGGTTTCCCCATGGCACCAATGTGGCAGTTAAGTAAACTGAAACAATCTTACCTCAGGGAAAATGTGGGGTCTGGAATCTGCCCTTGTGACTCTAGGCAAAAGATTTTGTCCCAGGAGTTTGGGAGCACTCCCTTACGTTTCATTCTGGAGGAACGTTCAGAGGGCCAGGATAGAGGAACTACTTGCCCAAACCAGAGAGGTAGGAAGATTGTGGGACAAAGGCAATGGAGGACAGAAAATAGCTCTTGGGCACTAGGGAACAGGTTCAGAGATGCTCCCTGAATGCTGCTTCCTCTCCTCTCATGCCAGCCCCCAGAAGGGCCATGTTGGGTATGAGGAGAGGCAAATCAGTGCCAGGTTGTGTGCCTCACACAGATGGAGTGGTATGGGAGGGCTTCCTGGAGAAGGCAGCACTGCAGCTGGATGGTGAGGGGTGGGAAGATTTGGAAGGAAGGTATGTGGGAGGGTGGTGTCAGTAGTTGGTGCAGAGGGAAGAGCAGGACCATGGCATGGAGATTTGTTAAAGGTTTTGGACTCTTGTGAAGACCCATCTGTAGGACAGGACCACAGGGCAGTAAGGAGGGTTTGGAGAAGGGCCAGAGTAGAGGCAGTAGAGGGAGTCCAGGTGCTTGGGCTGAAGCTGCTGGTTCAGGGCAGATAGGGGGCTGGGTCTGAGACCTGGAGCTCCCCCAGCATCCTTTCCACAGGACAGCAAGGGTATCATCCATGTGTGACCCCTGGAGGGGATGGAAAGCAAGGGGCAAGTCAGTTTCTTTTCAGGCCTTTGGGGTTTCCGAGGAAACAAGCAGCAAGAGGAACTCTGGGCCAGGCTGGAAACCAAACCAAATTCAAGCTGTGAATGAGGCACAAAGGATATGAGAGCCACAGAGGACAGACTCTAGGGACATGGCTTTTCCCCAGGCAGAAGTGGTCATTTTCCTGGCAGCCAGAAACCACCAGTTTAGGGAACAGCCAGGTGGTGGCAGAGGTCCCTGCAGTCCCTGCCCTGGTGGCCAGCCCTTCTTCCCTTCTCAGTGCTTTGTATCAGGATGTTCTGCTCCCACCTGGAGCTCTTAGGTCTTGCACGTTTCCTCAAGCTGCCTAGGCCTTTAACTTCCAGTCTGTACCATGGGGATTAGGACCCAAGGCCTTTCTACATTCCTCCAGCATCTGAGCTCCGGTGTTCAGTCTGGGCTGCTATTCAGGGGCTCACGCTCTCCTCCCCAGGCCCCATCCACTGAAGCCCATCAGCCTCCCATGGAAACCTCAGAAGCCCAGCCCAGAGCCTTGCCTAGAGCCACTGCCCTGCAGTTTGGCCCCCTGTTCTTTTTGCCCATCCATGGCTCTGGGGAAGCCATGTACTCCCTGGGGAGAGTTGAGAGGAGAGGGTGTGCTGAAATCTTCCCTCCCCCCTCAGCCCTGAGGAGTCTGAGGCAGGTGCTGAGTGGCTGAAACCACAGTCTATATTGGCAGAGATAGGGTCCTCCTGTCTGCAGGCCAGGCCTGACTGCGTGGTCTTCCCAGGCTGGGTTCCTGAAGCACGGGCCTGCTCCCCACCTCCAAGCCCAGGCACTGTCAGCAGCTGATAAATGTCAAAAGGAGGCACAAATGCAGGATGTGTGTGTCCCTGGGAGGGAATCCCCTGAGGACATGGGGACCCACACTTCTCCCCATCGTCACCCTCAGGATGTCCCCTGTCCCAAGGGACTGATGACTAGTCAGGGACTTCATTCCCAGCCATTTGACACTGCTCCTTCTCTTGCAGGTTTTATACATCAGGAAGAAGAAGAGGTAACTCCCCAGTTGCCACCCAAAACTCCAGCCTGTTGGCAGTGTTGGGCTGGACTCCAGGAGACATGGGTGGGAAAAGAGAGTCCCTCCAACATTGGGGCCCCTCTCCCTGGTCAGGGAGTCAGGTCCTCTTCTGCCCGCTCACGGCTGGGGATGAATACTTTCCCTCCAGGAGTGCTGAGCCACCCTTGCCCCAATACCCTGAGCTCCAGGTCACTGACTCCCCTACCCTGCCTGGCCCGCAGAGGCTGTGGATCACACAAGGCCCTGGCCTACGCAGTCCCCATGGACCCCACAGATGATGCCTCCATGGGCCGTGGCCCCATCGGGTCCCAGGAGTGGGTAACTAACAGAGGGGTGGAGATGGTACTGCAGGTACAAAAATAGCTTTCATTTAATCCCAGAGGAAACCTCAGACCCCCTAAGCATAGCTGTGTGCTATGGCTCAGCTGGGCATCAGGCAGGGCCCAGAAGGCTGGAGGGAGGGCAAGGACCTGCCATGCCCCCAGCAGCCTCCCCCCACCCCCAGGCTGGAGAAGCTCCGCCACCAGCTCATGCCCATGTACAACTTCGACCCTACGGAGGAACAAGATGAACTGGAGCAGGAGCTGCTGGAGCACGGGCGGGACGCTGCCTCCATGCAGGCTGCTGCCTCTATGCAGGCCATGCAGGGCAAGGTGGGCACTAACCAGGCTCCCCACCCAGGCTGCAGGCTGCTCATGAGTCCTCGGCCCCCACCCCTCCCTCCTTTCTCATGCAGCTTTCCAGCACCTGCCATACGGTCAAGTGGGTATATGGGTTTTGTCAGGTTTGTTTAGAAACAGGTAGAGTTTCCCTGTGGCCACCTATAAACTGACTGCATGAGGCCAGGGCAGCCCTGGAATCCAGCCCAGCTCTACCCCTGCTAACGTAGTGATCTTGGCAGCCCCTTGGCCTCTCTGAGCCTCTGCTTTCTTGTCTGCAAATGAAAGTCCTAATTCTTGCCCTCTGTGCCCCCACACCTTGGCTAGGAAAGCAGGAGAGGACTAATGGGAGAGATTGTTGGAACTGGGAGGCTGGTGCCTCTGCCCCCTGAGGGCCCTGGTCCTGAGCACATCATGATTGGGGTCAGATTCTGGAACAGGGGCACCTCTGACTACACTAGGGGGTTCCTAGCAACTGACAAACGCTGGGTGTGTGGAGACCCCAGCCAAATTCGCCTCCTACATCCAAAGGGTTAGGTACCTGTGTGGTCACCCTGTCAGAGCCACTGGGCTGCATGGCCATTTGCCACCAGTCCCTAAAATTCCCAAGGGCCAGAGCAACATGAGGAGGCCTGGTCTCTCCCTGACCCATGAAACCCCTTTGCATTTCTCCTTGCCTTGACCCCACAGGTTGCTTAGGGGGGAGGCGCTGGCCCTGCCAGGGCAGAATTAGGAGACTGGATTCAGGAAGAGTCCAGACTGGAAGTCCAGAGACCTCCTGATTTTGCCACCAGTTCTGTGGCAACTGATCAGGACACATTCCCCACTTGGGATATTTGGGAAATCAGACTGAGAACCTTGGTCCACCCAGCCCATGGGACTACTGACAATTTGACAGTTGTTTCCTGTGTGCCTCCCTGCCTCCTCTGGTCCAGCCCCTGTGCTAGAGCTAGGGGATACAGAGGTGGGCCCCCTTCTGCTGGGAGAGAGTGGTGCATGCATAATTAATCCAGCCTCTAGGCCCGCAGGGCAAGTGCATGCTAGCAAACTGG